CAATTTAGGGACCCCCCCGGATACACCCCACAGCACACCCCACCGCAGCCCCGATGCTCCCCGCAGGCACCGAATGGGCGGCGTCCCTCAGCTCTGCTGCATGGCTGCAGCCCCACAGCACCCCTATGGGGGAACGGGGGGGCACACAGCGTCACCCCCACCCCACAAAGTCCCCCCGTTTCTCCCCCATATCCCCCCATTGCTCACCGCAGGCTGTAGGCAGGCTTAGACCCAGCAGCAGCCCAAAGCTGGCACTGCCCTCCCCAGTGTCCCATGAGGGCTCTGGGGGCCATAAGTTGCCTATGGGGGGACAGAGAGGTTATGGGGTCGTTCTCAGGTAATGGGGTCCTTATAGGATTATTATGGGGTCGTTATGGGGCTGTTGTGGGGTTGTTATAGGGTGTTTATGGGGCTGTTATAGGGCATTTATGGGGTTGTTATGGGGTTCTGGGCTCAGTGCCCCCAGTGACTCACGGGCCAGCAGGTGGGTGTTGGGCCCTGGGACGGCCGGCCGGGGGGTTTCGGGGTCCCTGGAGCTGCTGTTGGAGTTGCGGGGCGGGCAGGGCTGCAGTGGGGCGGGGGGGGAATTGGGGAGGGGCAGACAGAGCCTGGAGAAGGGGGAAAAACATTCATTAATAATTAGTAATTAAAGCAAGGCGGGGCTTCATGAGTGCATCAGGGAATGGGAGAATCCCAGCAGTGTGATACAGGGGTGATACTGAGGTTCCTATGGGGTGATATGGGGGCTCTATGGGGTGGCATTGTACCCTATGGGGTGATATTGGGGTGATCTCGGAGTCCTATGGGGTGACATTGGAGGCGCTGTTATGTGGTATTGGGTCCTATGGGGTGATATGGGGGTTCTATGAAGGGTTAGGGGGGGTGCTGTGGGGCAGGGGGGTCCCTATGAGAGTCCTATGGGGCGATTCTGGGGGCTATGGGGTCCTATGGGGGCCCTATGGGATGATATGGGGGTTTTATAGGGTGATATTGGGGTCCTATGGGGGAACTGAGGATCCTTAGGGGGGTCCCGTAGGATGGGGGGCTATGGAGAGACAAATCGCATCTCATTAGCATAACATTAGCATCTCATTACCCGTGCCACGCTCCGGGCAGCGCCGCTCTCATGGCCCCGACCTGCAGGGCCAGCAGGACCAGCCCCATCCCGATGGGTCCCAATGGGGCCAGCCGGGTCCCGTGTGGGGCTGCGGCCCCGAATCCCAGCAGGGCCAGCAGGGCCGAGCCGTAACTGCGGCCCAGGTTCAGCAAGGAGAGAGGTAAGATGGCCGCCGGGGGCAGGACATACAGCTGGGGGGGAGGGGAGGGGGATGAGATGGAGCCACGCCCACCAGGTGATGGCCACGCCCACAAGATGGCTGCCATCGCTGATGGCCACACCCACAAGATGGCCGCCCCCACTGATGGCCATGCCCACAAGGTAGGTGTCCACATGAGACCACGCCCACAAGATGGCCTCCACAAGATGGCCACGCCCACAAGATGGCTGCCCACATGATAGGCCATGACCCCAAGATGGCCACCCCCAATGGCCACGCCCACAAGATGGCCGTCCCAAGAGCCCCTCCCCATCTGTCAAGACCCCGCCCACTCCTCCAAAAGCCCCGCCCACCTCTCCACTGACCCCGCCCCCTTCCCTCCCGGCCCCGCCCCTTAAAGGCACAGCGCTCACCGTTAGCAGCTCGGCCGCCCCCAGCGCAGCAGCAGCAGCGGTGAACGCAGCCCCCAGGAAGGCACAAAGCCCCACAGCTGCTCCGGCCTCGGGTCCCAGAGCCCCCCACAGCACTGCCAGGGGTCCCCCCCCTGTAGGGAGGCATCACCCCCCCATCAGCCCCATAGGGAACCCCAATGAGTGTGGCCCCCCCCCCCAAATCCCCGTGATGCGCTCTCACCAGGCACGACATCATTGGAGGCCACGGCGCTCAGGGACAGCGCGGTCAGCACAGCCTGGGGGGCACA